ACCATTCCATTTTGGTTTTAGTGCCTTTTCTTCAGTGCTGTTTCCAGATGCCATTTTGGCAGGACAAAGCCAGAACCCAAATGCCAACATCTCCTGTCTGTACTTCAACCAGCAAAATGTATTGTCATGAGCTGGGTACCTCCTTACCTGCAGCAAAAGCAGGTGTAACAACTAAAGCTTAACTTCACCAACAAAAAGCAGGAAGAGTGGAAAAAGAGAATAAAGAACTGCATTTTCTCCCGGAGTTATTTCCAAAGATTTGCATAAAACCTAGCACAAGCAGGACTGAGAGCTGCCATTAGAGAAAGGCTGTGGCCATATTAGGAGACCAGAATGAAACATGGCAGAATCTCTAAAATTAAGGGAGGCCACACCTCCATTCGACAGCTGTAATTGGGCTGAGAATAACTCCACTAGGAAGCATCACAGCTCAGAAAGGCAGAGATTTCTTCCCAGGAAAACTCCTCTGTGGAAACCAAGATTTATTCCACGTCCTTGTCCCCGTGAAGTATTTTGGGGAGATGAATATCCTGCTTGACAGAGAAGGAATTGTAGGGAGAGCTGCTTTAGTCAAGGTCACACAATGCCTCGCTGCCGAGGCTGCCTCTGCAGCCCATGCCTCACTCACCGCATCCATTGTCTTTTACTAAAGGCAAAAACCTCCTGGATTTTCCCTAGTTACCCAACTGGCCAGGATGTCTGCTTGGAGAAAAACACCGAGGAAAAGGGAAGAGCACCTCCCCTCCTGCAACAGGATATTCCAGGTCCAAACAAAGACTGAATTGCTCGGGGAAGAGCAAAGCAGCGTGGCGGGTGCCCTCTCTCTGTAAGACATCAGGACCGGCCACCGCAGCCATTCCACCCCAGGGCTTGTCCCGGAGCTCAGGCACGGCTGAGCATCCCTTCCCGCAGGGCATCCCTTCCCGCAGGGCTGGGGTTTGCTCCATCCCTCATCCCTCAGTGACACACCCCCTCGGGTGTGGGGATGCTCCCCACGCTGCTCCCCCACACCCACCAGCCCAGGCTCCCATTCCCCAAATCCACGGGGGGCACCTCCCTTTCTCCCTTTCTCCCTTTCTCCCTTTCTCCCTTTCTCCCTTTCTCCCTTTCTCCCTTTCTCCCTTTCCCCCTTTCCCCCAGCCCTGCTCCCCACGGAGCGCAGGAGCTGCCCGTG